TGCTCTGGAGTTGCTGAGGCTGGTATTCTACACTTTGAGGACCACTGGTGTATAGAATGTGGCCAAGAGCTTTGCAATGATATTGGCCTTTCTGTCTGCCCGGCATCCCAATATTTTTCTTGCTATGAGAGCATCTCTACATATCATGGGAGGCAAGACTCCATCTCCAACATCAGAAGCAGGTGGGCAAGATCTGCCTTCTCCTGTCCCCTGGCCACATTCTGTTCTCCACCTCTCCACCACTCTGATCAGGACTTGGGTTTAGCACACTCATTTTTGTAGATTTCTTGCTCCCTCTGAGACCACAGTCAGACACCACTCTCAAGGATCGTTCATTCTGGCTCACTCCCTTTCACCCTCTGAGTAAAGTGGACTGAGGGTGTGCCAAGCCAAGTAAGGCTAGAATGATGAGACAGGTTTGCGTGCAGCAGGAGAAATCAAGCTTCCCAAGGATTCCAGAAGGATCCAGAAGGAAGAGTTCAATGGACTGCATGTTTGTGACCCTCCCTTGGATTCCTAGGTTGAAATCCTAACCCCCATGTGATGGTATTAGGGGGCGAGGTCTTTGGAGGTAATTAGTTTATGAGGGTGGAGCCCTGGTGAACAGAATTAGTGTCCCTCTAAAAGGGTCCCCACATGACTGTCTTACTCTTTTGGATGCCACAGGAAGTAAACAGTCTCTGACCTGGAAGAAGTCCCTCTCCAAACACTGCATCTATCAGCATCTTGATCTTGGACCTCCCACATCCAGACTGTGAGAGATAAATGTCTGTCATCTCAGTCACACAGTTTATGGCATTTTGTTAGAGCAGCATGACAGAAACAATAGGTGCCAGGTGCCAGGGACCCAGGAAACTGCCATTCAGGAGGTGCCCCTGGTGCAGAGGTTGACAAAGACCTCTAGCTACTCCAGACAAAGGACAGTAGAAGACCATTTGCAGACCTGCTTGCAGCATGGGACCTCCTGGCTAGAGGCAGATGATTGTTTCAGGAGGCTGGGGTGAAGGTGGGCCTGGCAGATCTTCCTGTTTTGTTCCTATTTTTAGTAACAACGGTCTGCTTTGTATAAAGATAAAGCCAGGACTGTTTTAAATAGCTGCATATTTTGTTACGGTAATATATTTCTATTCCTCTTTTTTTTAAAAAAAAAATGAGAAATGACTTTCCAGCATCTGTTGAAATCACATGTTCATGATTTAATCTGGTGCAAGGGTGATATTTTATTATTATTAATGGTTATCTTTGGGTCAAACCTTACAGTTATTCTTGGGATAAAGCCTCTCTGTTCATGGCATAAGGTTTCCCACAATATATTAATGAAATCCATTCTATGTATGCTTTAATGCAAGATCTATGGGTGCTTTATAGGACTAGGTAAGGTTTTTCTAGAACAATGATTTTCAATCTTTTTCTCATTATTGCCTCCATAAGGAATCTTTTTAGACCTTTTTTTTTTCCTTAATTGCCACCCCCATTTAATTTTCATACCACAGATATACCATAATTCTACTACAGGTAGAGTTGCATTTTCTACATGCAAAGAATAAGGTTTTCTTTAACCCCTACAAGAGTCAAATCTGATGCTTGGGGGAGATACCCCGATGGAGAAAGTGTGCCCTGGAATATTCTTTATTTGTGCATAATGACCTACGCAACAGGGCACATTTTCAAGGCTCAGAAAAAACAGAACAGCATGAGTTCTCTAAGGCCAATACATTTTAGTAAAGACTTATTGTGTTCATTGATTCCTCTCTGACTATCTTACAAAATGGGCCAACAAATACGTTTGACCTTTGGCAGAGCCTTCTACCTCCACTTCAGAATCCATCCCTAGAGAGCCTTCCCCAAGTAGCACTTCCTAACTCGTTCCCCATCTCTCTAGCCACTCACACCAGCTACTCTCTGAACTACCCTGCTTCAGCCAGGCACTCCCAGGCTGTGAGAGGTGCCCCTCCCAGCTCAGGCCCCCCACTAGCTGTACTCACAGACACTCCACAACCCTTACTTCAGCCCTGACACCTGTCCTCGCCCTGGAGAAAAAGTATCTGAGAGATAAAATTAGTGCCATCCTGTACTATGTATAATTTTCATCTGTTCTTGGCAAGTCTGCATACGGTCTCATAGATCATATACTAGATCACAAACATACCCTCGACTGGCTCCAAAAGAACAGAAACGATGTGTGTTATGCTCTCTGGCCAAAATAAGATGAAAAATAAAGTAACAACCCAAACAAAAATAAACCAGCTACTTGGAAACTTAAAAATACTTATTGAATCAACAATTGACTTGGAAAGGAAATCAAGAACACAAAAGGAGTTTATTCAGAAAACAATAATGGTTCAGCCTGCCATGCTAATCTCTGTGGAATGTGTTCAAAGCAGTACTTTTAGGAAACTTTATGGCTCAAAAAAAATTTTTGTTTTCTTTTTTGGTGGTTGATAAAAAGAAAACATTTTATAAAGAATTCAACTTAAGATATGAGGAAAGGAATGAGAAGACCACCCAAAGTAAAGAGGAAGAAGAAAATTAAGGCAAGAAAAGCAGAAGGAGATACTTTTGAAAGTGAAAAAAATAATTTCAATGAGCTTAATAACCAAAAGCTAAGAATTGGACAGGAAATATATAATTCAATAAAATATGAATTGAGAAAGGATATATACACACGCACACACACACACACACACATACACACAGACATATAAAATTATTTCCCTGAGGAAGTCCTATTTGATAAAACACAAAAGTTTGTATTAATAACATTTGAACATATAAATGAAAAGTAGATTATTTATATTATAAAATATAAAACTCTAAACTTTTACAATATGAAAGTCTAAACTTTAATATTAAAGCTTATAACTCAATTGAGGAGAAAGTTTGGAAAGTTATTCAGCAAGAAGTGTTCAGAAAGGATGCAGGACCTGAGAGATCAGGAGGGCGCTCAGGACACCTGGTGGAATGGGAGCCTGCAATAGAAGTCAGTGTGCATTAAGGAAAACAGAGATGTTTGACAGAGACAGGAACCTCCTGGGATCCCCCAAGAACCCTCTTGCAGCAAGCCTCAGAACTGAGGGGGCAGTGGTCTCCCCGCTGTGGAGTAACTGGATTGAGCGGGTGAGAGGGACCCTCAGAGGTCACTAATGATTTAGGAAATCTTTTTGTCCTTCTGTTTGATTTTTATCAAAATAGTTGCCTGTTTCCTGGATTTTGTCTTAAAAAACAAAACCAAGTATACCCATTATAATTAATTTACTAATGGATTTTGGTTTTCAATAGTGGCAAGACAGACCAAGAGGAAATGTAACAGGGGTTCACTTGATGCTTTGACTATATCCCTTGTGGCTTTGAAACATACATTTTTTTTTCTTTTTCCCATCCTTCTTCTCCCTCATCTTCTTTTCCCTAACTTTCTCCTTCCTGACCTTCTCTTCCCGGATCTTCTTTTCCTTAGCCTTTTCCCTGATCTTCTCTGATCTTTCTCTAACCTTTCTTTCCTGATCTTCTCCTTCCTGATCTCTCCTCCCTAATCTAATTTTCTCTGAATCACCTCTTTAAAAGCCCCCTGTTCCTTCTGATGGGCAGAATCACAGCCTCTGAGACAGGAGTCCCCTGTGTCTCTCCTTTGCTATCAAAGCAATAAGCCTTATTTTTCCTTTTTTTCAAAACTCTGTCCTTGTTATTGGATTGGCATGGCATGGCATGAGCTTTCGGCAACAGAAACAAGCAGAGAAATCAAACGGGGATAAAAAGAGAGGTATGAATATCCTTAAAAAATAATCTCTGTATCAGGTAGGATTTGTGTTGGCAATATACAACAGTATATTATTAATTTAATAATATTTGCTTCAATATCTTAGTGTTCATCTTTCATGTACAAGACATCTGGAGAAAGGCTGTCCAGGGCTGGAATGGTGGCTCACAGAACCAGAGTCGACCCCAGGGTCCTTCCCTCTGTCTCTTCTGCCAGTCTCACCACCTCTACACTCCTGGGACAGGAAGGGAAAGGTGGAAAGGACCAGAAAACTCACCTTCTAGCAGAATCGACTTCTGTCCTCCTGGAAATACCACATTGCCAACTCATGGTCAAGTCACATGACCAGTCCTAACTGTAGGGAAAGCTGGGAAAGGTTACCACCATGAGCAGAATCAGAGCTCTGTTACTAAGCAAGAAGAGGAAACTAGATAGACAGTGGGCAGACCACCGGTGGTCTCCGTCATGTTCCCCAACATGGAAACCCTGCCTGGGCTACCAGGACGTTCCTAATTCTTGCTACACTCTGGGCCTTCATAAATATTAACTGACTTAGAATGTAGGGGTTTAGAAAGTGAAGTCTGAATTCATTTTAAGCAGAGCAGGAACACCTCTTGGTAGTGATAGTGGCCCGAGTGAACAAGGGTAACCGCTACTGCTGGCTGAGCTTGAACTCTGAGTTTAGTAATTTAATTTATGTAAGAAAAATTCCTCCTGAATATATTGCTTATATATTGCCTTTTCAGAAAGGGCCACTGTGACTGCTCTATTTAAGACTGTATTGGCCGCTACCCATCGTCCTGGTACTTCTTATCTCATTTTTTTTTCTTCTGCCAGGCAGAAAGCAGTGGACAGAGGTCATCCAGACGACCTCTCCAACAATCCCCAAGGTCGGCGTTGCCATTGCCCCCTGTTACATACTTGGCACATCTAAGGTTTGGAGGGCTGGATGAGCTTTGCCAGTAATCAGGCAATGGAGCTGGAGTATATTCTGGATTTTTTTCCTTTCTTACTCTTAATGTCGCCATTCTACTCCTTTTCCTTGTTTGTATTTTGCTGCTTGTCTTAGCTCAGGCTGCTATAACAAAATGCCATAGACTGGGTGGCTGAAACAACAGACATTTATTTCTTACAGACGGATATTTATTCCTTTCTTCAGGCTTCGAGGTCCAAGATCAAAATGCCATTGGGTCCAGGGTACGAGGGCCACTTGAAAAACAGCTCTTTCTCTTCCTCTTTTTATAAGGCTCCATTCCCATCATGAGATACCCACATGAACTGATGGAAATTTGGAAATTTCCCAAGGTCCTACTTCCAAATACCATTATATTGGAGGTTATAACTTCAATATATGAAACAAAAATGGAATGAGGACGAAAACATCCAGCCCATAATATTGATTTACTGGTAGGTGTGGGGCAGATGCTACTACTTAATAGATCATATGCAGCCTCTATATTTTTCTTACTAAAACAACTCTGATTTTCTTCAAGATGACTATGCAGCAGATAAAAAAAACCATTTACCTCATTTGCAAACAGAAAAGGCCATGAAACCTAGTTGATGCCTGATGAGATCTAAAAGAGAATATTGGATGGCATTTCCAGGAAAACTATTGTTTTCCTATTTAGAGAGACTAATTAGCTGGCATGACTTCTTTCAATCTTTCCCCTTCTGCCTGGAATGCAGACTGAGTATCTGGAGACAGCAGCTATTTTATATAATGAGGTCAAGAACAGCACATTATAACAGAGCATACAGTTAGGAGTCTGCAGGACTTCTACCAAAGTTATTGTTACTTTGGAAAAGCCCCATTTGATGAAGCTGCCATATTTGGGTTTCTATTATTATGCAACTGAATTGACACCTAATTGAAATGAGACATTAAATTTCTTACTGTAATTGTTTTCTAAAATGAAATTTCCTTGTGTTTATACTAATTTTTCTTTTTTGAAGGGGAAGCGCTAGGGATGGAACCCAAGGCTTCACATTTGCTCTATTGCTGAATCGCACCTATGTCCCCACCATTTTTGCTTCAGGTATAAATTTGGAGGTCATATTAATTCAATATTCTTCTCATTTTATTATTAAATATGTCTCTTCCATTGTATGATTCTTTTAAAAAAATTCTTTAGAATATTACTTGCAAAACTCCTTTTCCCCTCTCAGAAAGAAGTTGAAAGTTCTGGGAAGGCTGTGACCCCCTCCCCTCTCTGGGGTCTTTCCACCTCTCTAAAGAGTAAGAAGTGATATATCCCACACAGACTAGACCCCACACGTCCATTGGGGATTTTACTCTCCCTGGGGCTCAGCACAGGGCACAGGGCCCCAAATCCTTTTTTTTTCTTTCCCCAGGATCCTGTAACACCTAAGCTAGGGATAGCAAATAGCATGCAGGTCTAATCCAGTTCAGAAGGAATTTCATTTGGCTCAGACAGCATTTAAGCCTTCTTGTGAAAAGATTGTGAACATTTTAAAAAATGAGATCTTTAGCTTTTTAGATACAAATACCCAGTTTCAGAACACGCAGAAGACAAGAGCATGTTAAAGGACACCAGCAAATCCAGACGCTGGGAACTTTGTAAGACAAAGGAGTTGGCTCTTTAACAAATACACTGCAAAGGGGAAAAGATGAGGGGAATAAAACAGTGGATTAAAGGAGACTTGAAAATATGTCAATCACTCAACTCACAGACCTTGTTTGGATTGGACAAACCATAAAAAATCAAATTAGGGCTGGAAGCAGACCTCACAGGTAGATCGTGTCCTTAGGCAGCACAAGTCTTGGCTTGGATTCCCAGCATAAATAAATAAGTAATAAATTACATTAAATAAATATTTTATGAGAAAACTATGAATTTTAACACTGATGGGACATTTGATGTTAAGAAATTATTGGGGTTTTTTAAGCTATGATACTGTGCCATGGTTAGAAACAAGAGTCCTGTCTTTATAAAGAAAAGGATGGATTAGGGATTTACTTTAAAATAATTCAGGATGGGGAAAGTAGTGAAGTTATGGATGAAACAAAACTCATGATCAATAATCATTGTTGAAATTTGGTGGTGGGTGGGGTTTACTATGGTCTTTTGTTTATTGTTAAATATGTTTAAAGTTTTCCATAGCATTAAAAAGAACGTGTGTGTGTGTGTGTGTGGTGTGTGTGTGATGGTACTGGGGAGAAACCTAGGGCCTCACAAATGCTAGGTAAGTATTCTACCACTGAGCTACATCCCAGCCCTGTAATAATATTTTTTAAAGAAGAACTTCCAGCTGGGTTTGGTGGCCTGTAATCCTAGTAGCTTGGGAGGCTAAGGTAAGAGGATTGCAAGTCCAAGGCCAGCTTGAACAATTTAGAGAGGTCCTAAGCAATTTAGTGAGACCCTGTGTCAAAATAAAAAATAAAAAGGGGGGTTGTAGCTCAGTGGTTAAGCGCTCCTGGGTTCAGTCTCCAATACCAAAAAAAAAAAAAAAGAGAGAGTTTTCCTATAACAATTCTGAGTTTGGATTCTCATGGAAAGCTCTGGTGTCACCAGGCCAGACTCCCACATTGCAACAACAGCGGGAGTGTTTCCATGCTGGCACTGTGCAGGCAGCCATCGTTCCTGCCACTCGGGTTGCACTGGCCTGGCCATATCCTGCCTGCATACCTGCACAGGTGTCCATCAGCCTCAGTACTCCAGGCTGCCCTCTACCGGGCACTTCCCATACTTCCCCTCTCATGTTCTTCTCACCCAGACCAGCATCACTGTTCAAGTGGGGCAAAGCCAGCTGCTTCCTCTTTCTTCCTTTTTCATGATGTTCTTCCCCCAGGTCCTTTTTTTCTGTGCCATGAATCCTTTTTTGATCCCCCAAGAGTCCAGGATTTTGAAACTCAATAGCTGGAAAAAACCACTTCTCTCTCTGCCTCCCGCTCTCTGTCATCATATCACTTTTCCGGGCAGTGAGAACAGAATACGCTGACCCTTAAATAGGGAAACCAACAGATGGGAATGAAAAAGAAAACTGGGAAGCATTTGGTGAAGATGTGGATCCAGGTCTTACACCCATCATACTGGCAAATATTAAGAGTTGAGTTTCAAGTGCTGCTAAGGTGAATGGAAATCAGAAGCTGGGAACATCACCTGGTGTAAGCTCCCTGGGAAGCAATGTGATGCGTTGGGTGGACCGTTGGGTCAGCTTTTCATTACTGTGACCAAAGACCCAATGAGAACAATTTTAGAGAAGGAAAAGTTTATTTGGGGCTCATAGTTTCAGAGATCTCAGTCCATAGATGACCAACTTCATTACCCTGTGCCCAAGATGAAGCAGAACATCATGGTGAAAGGGTATGGCAAAAGAAAGAATCTGGAGTCAGGGCATCAGGAAGCAGAGAGAGAGAGAGAGAGAGCACTCCCTACCCACCGGGGACAAACTATAGGCACATCCCAGTGACCCTCTAGCCACACTCTACATGCCTACAGTTACTACCCAGGTAATCCATTCAAGTGAATTAATGCACCGATTAGGTTAAGGCTCTTATAACTTGATCGATTCACCTCTGAAATTTCTTGGATTCTCTGTTATGGTTTAGATATTAGGCGTTCCCCCAGAAGCTCATGTGTGAGACAATGCAATAAGGTTTAGAGGTGAAATGATTGGATTATAAGAGCCTTAACCTAATCAGTGTTAATCTCCTGATAGGGATTAACTGGTGACTGTAGTCAGGTAGAGTGTGGCTGGAGCAGGAGGGTCATGAAGGCGTATCTCTGGGGTTATGTATTTTGTGAGCTAAATTTAGTCTCCCTCTCTCTGCTTCTCATGTCCTGAGCTGCCGTGATGTTCTCCCTCACCTCGAGCCCTAAGAAATGCAGCCAGCTGTCTGTGGACTGAGACCCCTGAAGTTGTGAGCCTCAAAATAAACTTTTCCTCTTCTAAAATTGTTCTTTCAGGTCTTTTGGTTACAGCAATGAACAAGCTGACTAAAACAGTCTCACACATGAGCTTTTGGGAACATCTCCTGTCTAACATGGACTGAACCAATACTTCCCACCCAGCCATGACATCCTGGATGCTGAACCCAAGAAACTCCTTCCCATGTCTCCAACAAGATGTGTAAAGCTCTGTTCATTGTAGAAATGTTTGTAATACAGAAGATTTGGAAACACCTAAAAGCTTGCAAATGGGAAAGTAGATAAATAAAATGTGTTACATACAAATAATGAAAAATGTTAGGCAGATAAAGGAATGCTCAGGCCCACATCTACTTATATCAGTCTGGAGCAATCTCAAAAGCATCACCTGGGCTGGGAAAAGGTGAGAAGCAGTAAGAGATGTATACCAACAGGCCATGCATATATATTTTTTAAAATATTTTTTTAGTTTGCAGATGGACACAATACCTTTATTTTATTTATTTTTCTGTGGTACTGAGGATCAAATCCAGAGCCTTACACAAGCTAAGCAAGCACTCTATCACTAAGCCACAACCCCAGCCCCTGCATATATGTTTAAAAGCACACACATAATACCAAAATTGCAAATAGAAATATAATCAAGGAAGACATAGAAAAAAATCGAAACAAAAAAAAATCACAGGAATAAATCCTGTGGTAGGTCGAGGAAAATGAGATTTGGGATAGGGTAAGGGGTCAAAAAACAAAGTAAAATAAAAGTGAGCCCTTCCTGTGTCGATGAAGTCTGTGCACCTTGACCCAGGGAGAATGGCTGATTTCCTCTGAGCACGCCCCATCTCAGCAAGCAGAAAACTAAACCAAAACACGAGTTAATATTTAACGCATGTGGAAAGAAAACTCCAGTGAGTGCCCGTGGATACCCCTATGCCTGATGTGTGCTCAGAGGTGGCAGAGGGCAGTCACTCAGGCTGGGTCCTGAGGGCAGAGGGAGGCCTCAGGCAGCTTCAGGAAGTTGAGGAGCCCCAGACCTTCAGCCCTTGCGATTCTCTCCAGACGGCTGGTCTTATTCCAGGGCCACACCACAGTGTAGCCTTGACTCACTTTAATCACACAGCCTCCTAGAGGTGCTGCACACTGCTCTCAAGAAACTGCTGGGTCACTAGATGGTCCCACAGAGATTGTCACCACAGGGGTTTCACCCTGTCATTCACCTGAAGCTCCTCCAGCACAGTCTGGAGACCCTGGGCACAAACTCCTCCAGCCTCTTCTGTTGCCGGCCTCCAGTGACAAAAGCTACTTCTCAAGACAATCAAGTCCAGAATGGTCCAGCTTATGTTTCATGTGGAGGACAGAGGGGAGTGGCAGCTTTGATGATGTTTGAGGTCTCACTCTTGGAGAAAGAAGTAGGGAGAGATAGATGATGAGTTACCTGCTGTCCCCCAAATCCCCTTTATTTTCTTGGTCTCTGTTTGGAGAGGCGTCCGTGAGGTTGAAGCACCCCTGCCCCAATGTCTTGACCCAACCGTGGGGCGACTGGCCCAGTTCTGTGTGGTTATGTTGTTCAGTGAGGAAGCAGGTGGAGGAAGTAGGAACAGCACCAAGTCAGGCCCCAGGCCACTGGGGTTTCAACTGAGGGGCTTCCTCCAGGTGTGCCTGGCCCGGGTTGACAGAGGGAGAACTGAGGCCTGTGGTCGCCTGCCTCTAAGATGGTGCTCAGTGATCCCTATCTCCTGGTTTTCATGTCTATGTATGGTTTCCTCCCACATTGTATCAGGGTTGGTCCGTAAGACCAACAAAATACGGCAGAAGTGGTGATGTTGGTCTCAGAGGCTAGCCAAAGACACTGTGATATCTGCCTTAGTTTCCTTTTTGGGCTGCTAACTTTGGAAGAAACCAGCTGCCACGTTGTGAGTTCCTGCAGCCCTCTTGGAGATCCTCAGGGTGAGGAACAGAGGCTTCCTGCCGGCAGCCATCCAGGAGCCATCCTGGACGTGTGTCCTCCAACACAGTCAAGACCTCGAATGACAGCAACCTCTTTCAATATCTTAACCCTGAACCAGAACCTTCCAGCTTGACTACTTCAAATTCCTGACTCTCCAAATTAGAGAGTTAGAGATGATGATAGGTGTGTGTGTTTGTTTAAGCAGCTAAATTTTGCGTTAGTTTGATACACAGAAAGGGCTAGGTCAGGACCTGGGCTGTAGCTCAGTGGTAAGGCACTTGCCTAGCATGCATAAGGCCCTGAGTTCGATCTCCAGCACTGCCAAAAAAAAAAAAAAAAAAGAAAAGAAAGAAAAGAAAAGAATGAAAGAAAAAAAGAAATGTCATCCAATGCACTTGGCAGCTGTAAGTGCATTCTTGGCTGTGTCTGGGGAGGCTTCTGGGCTGGGGGTTTGCCTCCTGTGCCAGACAGGAAGTAGTAGGGCTCCCAGAAGGTTTTAGCCCCTCACTCCCTCTTCCTTCCCTCACACCTCAGGAACTTCCCTTCAAAATCCCAACAGCAGATGTGGAAAGAAATCCTAACAGAACTTCCCTTATTTGACTAAAAGCCAAACTTTACCACAAACCCCTCCCTGCCAGTCAGTAAGGTGACCAGCCTTGGCCACCTGGACATTTCAAAAAGAGTATGTAAACAAGTCACATCAAAATCTTCCTCCTTGGAAGCCTAATCTGCCGCCCTTTTGTTAAGTTGGTACAAACCCTTAACCTCTAGATATTCAGCAAGGTACTTGTTACTTAGTGCTTCTACTGGTAACTAGACCAGGTCTTTTCTTTTGTTAATCTATCAGTTAATTCACAGGCCACCTACTCAAAGCCTAAATTGGGAAAGGAAAAGTTTTCCCTTCCAACACCTTTAAATGAAAGAAATCTCCAGGGGCCACCATGTGCGAAGTTCTAGAGCCTTCTGCACTGTTTTCTCTCTGGTATAATGAACTTTCCATGAGAGCAGCCTCTGCAGAGGGGAGGCCCCAGGCACTCACAGTTCCCATCCTCCACCTGCCTTGGTGCAGATGGCCAGGGACCCAGGAAAACGCAACTGCTAACCTTAGGTCACAGCCTGAGCACCTCTGCATACATGAGGCTGTGCCTCCTGGTTGTTAGTCACCACCTTTGGTGGTGATTTTGGTTTATTTCACGAACAACTTTGCTATGTACCAGGCTCTGTTCTAAGTTCTTTACAGATATCAAGTCATTTAATCCTCAGAACAACCCTATGCAGTAAATGTTATTATTACCTTCACTTTACAAATGAGGATCATAGGACACAGAGGGGTTAAGCAGTTTGCCCTAGGTTACACAGTGAAGGAGTGGCAACACTAGGCAGCTCCCATGCTCCGGCCGCAGATGAGAATTGACTCAGTGTCTATTTAGTGAGCATTTGGTGTCACTGGGGCACTATTTCTTGGCGAGGCCTCCCAAGGTTAGACAAGGTTACATACTTTGGTTCAGGATTTAGGGAACTCAGAGCTCCACATCCAAGCAGAGCTTCACCTCCTGAGGAAACCAAGCCACATGTCACTGGGAAAACCACAGGGGTTCATTTTCCAAGGCCAACCTGTATGCTCAACTCTGAGGGTTGGCCTGACTCCTGTTGCTTGGCCAGTTCCCTATGGAGATGGCCCTATCCTTCCCCATCTTCCTAGTTCAAAGCTTCTCAACCCAGGGCATCTTTGCCCTCCACCCGGAGGAATATTTGGCAAAGTCTAGAGACATTTTTGACTAGAAGGCTGCTACTGGCTGGCACCTAGTGAGCAGGGGCCAAAGATGTTGCTGGACTTTCTCAAATGCACTTGGCAATGTCTCAGTTCAACGGTGCCACACTTGAAAAACTGAGCTGGGCTCACCTCATTCCAACCATAAGTCCTTGGAAATACAATATAGATTTTGAGGTACTGACAGATGTAGCTGACATTATTTTGTAACAGGTTTTTGTGCTATTTTATATTGTCATTCTCATAAGTCAGGCTTTGTTACTATTATTATTATTTTTATATTTATTTTTTAGTTGTAGTTGGACACCATACCTTTATTTATTTATTTTTATGTGGTGCTGAGGATTGAACCCAGGGCCTTGCACGTGCTAGGCGAGGGCTGTACCGCTAAGTCACAACCCCAGCCCCTTTGTTGCTATTATTATTTTTGCAGCCCTGGGGATTGAATCCAGGGGTTTTCTATCACTGAGCTACATGCCCAGTCCTTTTTATTTATTCATTTTTTATTTTGAGATAGGGTCTCGCTCAGTTTCTGAGACTGCCTTGGAACTTGTGATCCTCCTGCTTCAGCCTTCTGAGTCACTGGGATTACAGACATGTGCCCACCATGCCTGGCTTATTATCCATATTTTATAGACTGGGAAAAAGTTTTAAGGTCAAGTGGCTTGGCCAAGGTCACATAGCTAATAAGTGACAGCCAGGTTTCTTGCCTTCTCAGGCACTGATATACATAATTAGACAAAGTAAAGATAGTAAGTTCCCAGGGAGACCTGGCCCCATGCCTACCCTAGGCCTGCCTTCGTCCTCCCCTGGGAACAGAGGGGTCAGAACCCTTCTCTATGGCATAGTTGCAGCCAAATTTTTCAAAGCCAGCAGAGAACAGCTTGGGCTACCTGTTTCTTAAAGAAGGGGAAGAGTGGGGAGAAGAAGAAGAGCTCCTGTTTTACATAGAGACAGTTGGGATGGAGAGGATGGAGCGGGTAGGAGATTGGACGGGAAGTGAGGCCTGGGAGCTTTTTATTATTTATTACAGCAGGGCAATGAATGGGAGGTTTGTTTCTAAGCCATAAATACCCTCCTTTGATCCCTGTGCATATCAGAGATAAATAAGTCACTCTTAGGCCTCAGAAATTAATGATTGTCCTAATTATCACCCCAAGTGACCTTCCAGCATTAGTAATTCTTACCACACTCTGCAAAATAGCTGTGTCAAGGTTTGACCCGGTCCAGGAAAGAGATGGACCTGAAGTGGGGTGAGCATTCGTAATTCCTGTGGCCATTCCCCGTTCCCCAGTCCTAGCCTGTTTGCAGAAATGAAATTGGCCTCCATTCCTAAGGCCAGAGAATCCTTAGAACCAGACCCCAGCTTCTGGCCTCTGCCTTCCCTGTCTTTATCTTCAAACCCCAGAAGCACTGTGCAGGCAAGCAGCTCAGGGCCTTGTCAAATCCTGACCAGGGAAAGGGGGCCCCCAAGGTGCTTCCAGGAAGACAGGGCCATCCGGAAGCAAGAGGACATTTGGTGCAAAGTTAACATTTGACCTCTTCCGCAGGCCCCTTCCCATTCAGGCTGGGGAAGAGCTTTGAAGTTTCCTTTGTCTGTCTGTTTTCATAGCCCTGATTCTGTACTGGAATTGGCTTGCAGCCCTGCCCCATCCCTGGAGAGTTGTTCTTCAACTACAAAAGTCTTAGAAGAATATTACAAGCTCCACCCGCCATCCCCAAGCTATGGCCTGGTTTTCCTTTGGGCTGAAATGCTTAGGAGGAAAAGGGCTCCTGTTTACAATTTTGCAAGATGAAAGCCCCTGACCCCTAGAACCAGATCTGAGGGCAGGCACTGCCAAGGGAGCTAGTTAGGGAGGAGGGAGGAGGAGGGAGATGAAGAGGGTTCTAGCGAGATTGTCCCTCAAGATCTATCAAGTAAGTAACAGAAGTAAAAAGCAGGTGGCCCCAGCCTCTCCTGTCAGGCCTCACGAGCAGACCATGCACTTCATGTGGCTAAATATCAATTTCAGGGGCTTTGTTTCTCTGTTTATGAGAGCATTCTGCTTGTAGTGTTGCTCAAGCCCACCAGAAAGGCAGTGTAAAAGCAGGAGAGATGGGGATAAAGAAGGAAGAAAGGAGAGAGAGAGAGAGAGGGAGATACAGAGAGAGGGAGAAAGCAAGAGGGAAAATCAGAGAGCCCCATAGACTCCCGCAGAAGAATCTGGAATCACACTGAGCCTACTTTTCAGAGTAAAGAGCCTGAGCAATGGTGCCATCTTGTGGCTGTAAGTGGAAATCACACCCAGGTCTCTCCCTCACTAGACCCACGTGTTATTTGCATGATCTTTTATAACCACAGGAACACAAGCCATGGTTCTTGTTTCTACCCCAGGTAATACCTTCTTTCCCCAAAATCTATCCCCCAAAACTACTCCAAACTTTGCACCCTCTTCCACATACCTTTTGAGCAAGTCCATAATTTACCTAGTAAAATTCTTGCTATTTGGTATTCGACTCTACCTGAACTTTAAGATTCATTCAGTCATCCCATTCCACCATCTTTTTTATCCCCTTGCCCTCTCCCTTCCCCTCCCTCCTGTTTGCCCTATCTGGAGTTTGTTTAATCTCCCCATTACCCTAAGTATATATATGAGGACACGAATAGTGTGAATATACTTTGTATTCAACCAGAGATAGGAAAAATTGTGTTCTATACGTGTAATATAAATTATAATACATTCTGCTGTCATATATAACAAATTAGAATAAAAAATTTTAAAAAAAGGACTGGGGATATAGCTCAGTGGTAGAGTGCTTGCCTAGCATGTGCAAAGCCCTGAATTCATTCTCCAGCAATGCAATATTAAAAAAAAAAACAAAAAGTTCTTTTTTCAGGGAAGTA